TGTAGGTATAGTGACCTCTCTTAAGATCTCCGTTATTAAATATAGCGAATTCTAATAATTACTTACGGAATTATTTGTTCAATAGCTCATCGTTATACCATGACGCTAATACACAATAACTAACATATATTATAACGTCATAACATTTTGACTTTCAAGCATTTTAAAGTATATTTTAGCATTTAATTACACATATTTTCTCATTCTTGTTAAACAAATATACGTACATTTGAGTGTGTTCTTTGTTATTTAACGTTCTATTTGGTTGTATACATTTCGAGTTATGCAAAGTTGAACAATAACATGGCATCTTGTTAAAATAGCCGCCTAAGCGCATTGATTATTAACTTTTTTAGAGGTTTCTACGTCAAAATAATTATTCGATAAATTATTAAATTGAATGTAGCTTTACTGTCAATCTAACACAATTTATATTATTAATACATGTACATACTATAGATTTTTTGTACTGAACAGCCTATATACGAAAGAAGTGATATATGTACGTATTTATATGTATATGTATACATTCTACAAATTTTACTTTTTTGTTATTCTTTAACCAAACTGTTTTTTTATTATAGAAAATCAATTTTTTAGGTCTATTTTTGTGAGACTTGAGAGACATTACCACTCTGTTTCTCGGTGATTATTGCATTATGCAATGTGTGTGTGTGTGTGTGTGTGTGTGTGAGTGTGTGTGTGTGTGTGTGTGTGTGTCGCTACATTTTTATAAATAATGTCCTAAATAATAGGCCGCTATTTCATTTGTGCGTTTTTGTCGTACGACAAATTTTTCAAGCCTGTTTGGCTATGGGATAGAGAGATCCTAGGACCTCTCTGTCCTGCATACATTTGTCGTATAGCAAAAACGTATAAATGAAGTAGTACCCATATGCTCGATTCCCACGAGGCGTGAACTACGAACGTGAACATAGGTGTTAGCAGAATTTTTTCCAGGCCGAGGCATAATTCATGCCTCCGTCTGGAAAAAATTCTGCTAACGCCTATGCTCACATTCGTGGTTCATGCCTCGTGAGAGTTCAGCAATATGTTTCTACAATAGGATTGTAAACTGTGAGCCATAAGAAATTGATCAATCAGTCGAATATAAAAAAATCAATTATTTATATATATATACAAAAACACTTACGAACTGTATTCTAATCTGTCAGATTGAAGCTCTTCTTCAAATTTTAATAAATCATCCAAGCTCGTTAAAGGAAACTCGGGTATTAATCCTTTTTCATATTCAATTGCATCAGCAACTAGTGGATTTTTTGCTAAATTTATCAATAAATTTAGCTTCTTTTCATTTTTCTGTAACTGTTTGATTATGATTTGTTGTGTGGCATATACTTGTATAAAATAAAAGATAAAATTATTACAAAAAGTCTAAAATAAAATATAAGAACTCTGATATACAAAATAAGGAAAAACTTGAAAATTTAAAATTATTTTATTTTTAGTAATATATAATTTACCACACAGCATCTAGTATTATGGCATCTATCTTGTGTATTTGCTTCATTTGTCACATCTCGAACATTTTCAATACCTAAAAAACAATTATAAAATATGGAAAAGATTTAATTAATACTAATACTTTAAGAATTAACTACATTTTTTTTCATATTGTCTATCACCGCACATTCTAATTCTCACTGTTTACCATTCGTATTACGTTCATCATTCATGTTAAATTCTTCATTTGAGTCTGTATCTTCATTTGAGTCTGTATTTTTCACTTCAGTGTGCACTGTCATATTACAGCCATCCTCATTAACACGTTCATCATTGTCATTAATGTACACAACTAAAATATATCACATACACATTTTTGTTTATTTAAAAATATTTCAATACCTTTTTTATTGTAATTGTAAATGCCATTTTTACAAACAGGAATATAAGTATGCAACAAAAAAAGTTTTATTTTTACCATTAAATTCTCCCTCACATATATGTTTTTTAGTACTAGTCGATGTTTTGATAACAGGTTGTGGTATAACACTAAGGGTGCCGTCACATGCGGCGTAACCTGCGTAAGCGTAACCTGCATGTCTAGTAAATTACTAGAATACGCAGGTTACGCTTACGCAGGTTACGCCGCATGTGACGGCACCCTAAGTGCACAATTGACATCTAACTAGTGACATCTAACATACAATGCAGGATGTCCAATACATTTGAATGTCTCTTACACGAAATTACGTATCTCATTATTTTTACGCGCGATTACGAACTCATTATTATTCAGATACATCACATATGTTGATTTACGAATTATTATAAAACATTGTCTTATTCTTGTTCTGAAAAATGTCTTAAACAGATATGTCCAAAAGACATCTTAAAAAAGATGTCTTTATAGGATTTGACTAAGAGTCACCTTCAAGATATCTTTTTTGTAAAATCTTAAAGTCGTCCTGAAAAGGACGCCCGAAAGATGTCTTAAAAAGAATTGTTTTTAGGACTTGTCTAAAAGTTATCTTAAAGATGTCTTTGTAAACGCCTTAAAGCCATCTTTTTTAAAGACGTCTTTCGGATTGTCGATTAGACATGCATGTTCACTGGGGTCCTAAAGGAAAGTTTCATATATACGTAAATGTCTATGTTTTCATTCATAATTTGACTTATCTAGGTAAATAACACTATTTTTACATAAAATTTCGATAATCTGACTTCAGAAACGTGTTCTGCGACATCAAAAACACTTAGGAATACTAAAAACAAAAAATGAAAAGTTTCCACATTGGCCATCCCGTTGAGGACTGGCCACTATAGTGGCCAGCGGAAAACTCGTCGACTCCTCGACATAAACATTCAATATATACATGAATTTTACATTAAAAAATTCAAAATTTCAAGGCAAAAATGCCGGCTCTCTAAAGGTTAAAGACGCAATGTCACCGTTCCCTTACTCACACAGCAAAAATTGATTCTAGGTACATCCTACAAATGTATGTCGAGGGCTTTTCAAACATCCAGAATACTAGGGAATAGAACTTAGGAGGTATTTAGGATATACTGAGGATGTTTATATATCTGCTTATTCTACATCCATAAGACATCATCGTTTAGATATCATTAGAATGTTTCTGGATGACCAAATTTTATCCCGTCTTTTTCCAGTGGAGATCCTAAAATGTCTAATTTGCTGCAGCAGCCAATCTTTTTTTTCAGTGTACGGACTTACTCTACGCTCTGTTACATCCCTAGCTACAAGTGAATGATCGATCAATATAAAATTAACGTCAATCGACGTTGAATTAACATCTTCTTCTTCCTCTTAAATAATAATGGCTCCTGCTTCCCTCATGCGGAGGCAATACGGAGCCAGATCATGTTTTAATGGATTACAGTAGCAAGAAGTGACGCAATGCCCGCGAAAATGGCGTTGCCCGAACGGACACCGGACACCTGTATTTACGACGTCGTCACGTCGAAATAACGCGCGTCAGGACGAACGCACGAGACGAGCCAATTCGCGGATATGCATCAGAAGGAAGCAATTGCACAGTTAAAGTCGGCAACACTTTCAAAAATATTTGATTGTCAGCACCCCAGTTCTGATGAACCACTCGCTCGTGGCGGACGCGTCTCGACTCGGGTGTTATAGCTATTGTATATTTTTGAAAGTGGTGCCGACTTTGACCGAGCATTGAAACACA